GGAGAAGGACTCATCCGCCAACGTGTCCCATAGGACCCTTGGAATGCGGTCCCAAAGACGTGTGTAAGGCGGGCGCATAAGAAACTTGGTAGATACCCTAGCCATGATGAAAAAGGGGGTTTCGAGCCTCCTATCGAACCGCCGGGACCCAACCGCTGCACAATGCATGCATGCTCCAACCTTGCAGAATGCAGAGTGCAGATGGAGCAGGCAGGCCACACGCATCCCGACAAGTCCCCCCCAACGTCCCGAGATTTTTACCGGGAAAGGGGGGAGCGCGACCCAAAATCAACCCCCCAGAAACCCCCCAAAAGCACGGAGGGGGGAGACCGACCAGGCGGGGGATTCCCCAAAACCCCAAGGGGACCTCAAGGAAACCAAGAGTCGGCCGCAGCCACTTTTTCCGAACCGTGGCTGAGATGGCCTCCTTGGGGCAGCTAATGCATGTGGCCTCATGGTCGAGGAGATCAAGCTGCCGTGACGTGGCTCCACTGCCATGCAACCAGAAGAACCCACGTGCGCCACCAGAATGGAATAAGAGAGGAAACAGTGGTGAAAACCGAACCCAATAAGGAAAACCCTTTCCCCCTCCCCCCCCGGAGACGGGGCCAAAGGCACCCAAGTCCCGGGAGGAAGAAATCACACGACTCCCACATCCGACAGGGTTGTGAGACAAAACCTAGCGGCTCCCTCCCTTCAGGATCGCCTCTTTCGCCACCGAGTGGATTGCCGCCAGCCCCGACTTCTCCGGGTTGCTCAGGATGACCGACCACAAGGCTGTGGAGACATTTTCCAGGCCGTTCGAGGAGCTGAAGCGCATGCGGGGGGTGCTCGCGTCGCTTAGGACCAGCCGCTCATCCCTGGGAGGCTCCGTTGGCTCCACCCTCTTGTAGAACTCCATCCGGTCGCGGATCCACTGATTGTACAGCTGCTCCGGGGGCTCGTCCATCACCAACTGCAAGCAAATGGCCTTATCCCTGTGCCAGCCTGGTCCCCCCTACGGCTCGCCTTCCAGAAGCCCTTGCAAAATCTGCACATATAGCCACATGGACGTACTTTTGGCCCGCAACCGCCGTGACCGTGGCCGGTGATGGGCGGGTACCGCCTGTGGTGTCTGCCCCCCCCAGGACCTTGGCCTTTGGGTCCGCCTCCTTGGCCGCTCCCCCCCCGGGGCCAACGGCACCCAAGGGGGGGGAGCAACCCAGCTGCCGGATGAGGTCCTGGGAGTAGCCCAACCTGTCATACAAGGCCCCCGCCGCCTCCTGCGGAACCGTCGTGGACCACATTGCAGCGCCAATTGACCTTCACCTCCACCATCGACGACTTGCTCAGGCCCGCCACCAACTTGGTGTAGACCAAGTCGAAGGCCTTCAGCGAGGCCAGCGGGAGGGTGATCCGTTCGTCGCAAATTGCCCTGAACCGCAGCGCCTCCTTACTGTCATGGATGGGGGCCACCGGCATCTCCATCACGGGCAACGGGCAGTTCACGATGAAATTCTTTGCCGCCAAGAATGTCCCCATCTCCTTGAAGATGTGCGCGGCTTGGGGATGCCCAGGCTCTCCAGGAAGGGCACCGCCTCCTTCCTCATCTGGATAATGTTGCCCATCCACTTATCCGAGGTCGAGCCCTCCGCATTGCGGCCCCGGCGTTGCGTCTTCACAATCAACGGGAAGGTGGTCCAGGCCGAGTAGATATACTTAAATGTGAACCTGTGGGCGTACACTCCCGTCAGGCTCGGCAGGTCCCACGTTCTCGTCTGTCTGGTCCAAAACACCCCATCACCCTTCGCCCAGAAGATACCAACCACCTGCTCCGGTGCCGGGCGCTCGCCCCGGTTCACCTGAGCTCGGATCTCCAAGGCAGTGTAGATGACTGGGTCGATGTGGTCCTGCTCGCACGTGAATGGGTGAGTCCTGCGCTCAAGGGCCGGGGGATCTCACCGCTTGCGTGCTTCTTCCAAACCCCCCCAAACATCCGGAGCTCTCCCTGGTGCCGCTTCATTGCCCAGAGGATAAGGGACAGCTTGCCTTCCTCAGAGTCCGGTATGGGCTGGTCCCCCCCGGGGCCGGTGGCACCCTTGAAAGGGCCGGTGCCTCCAGCTCGGGCATCTCCTCCAGCAGTGCCTCCTGGTGCCACGGGTTCTGCGACGCTCTGAGCATCTTGATGTAGGGGACATACTTCTCCTTGATGTCCCCCACCGGGGGATGTCGTCGGGGTCATCCAGCTCCAGGGGGCAGAATAGGCCCCTCTCCAGGGCCTTCCTGAGATCATCCGGCCACGCCGACACTTCCAAGGGCTTGAGAGTCTGGTTGAGCATCCATGCCTGGTTGGTGTCCTGGATTCGCTTCCTGAATGGAGCCCATCGCCTCAGCCAATGCCTGGCTGGCGTCAACGCCCTTCCCCTCCAAGTACTGGTCTCTCAGCTTGGCCTTGAAACGCTCCAGGTTGACCTTCCTGAGGGCACGGGCTCCCTCGTTGGCCACCTCATCTGACGGCAGGGCCTGCATGCCCTCCTGGAGGGGCGCCAGGATCGCCATCTCGTTGTCCAGCATCTCCTCAGTGACCAACTCCTTGTGCCGCCGCCTGGCCGAGGCCTCCTCCGGAGTCGGTTCCCGCTGCTCCCTGATTGCCTGGTTTATCTGGGGATGGTAGAGCTCGAAGCTCTGAGCCTCCGCCTCCTTCAGGGACCGCTGCACTTTGACCTTGATCTCCTGGCTTTCCCGGACCTTCAACGCCTCGTCGTCCGCCTCCATGGACAGGATCTCCTGCCGGATGTCCACCCGCCTGTTAAGCGGGACCGCATCTGCCATGGTGATCTCATCCGCCGAGCGTTTTTGGAGGGGCTCTCCCCAAGACCGTGCCGTCCACCAAGTTGCGGTCGGCCTGTGCCAGGGTACCACCGGGGCCAACGGCACCCAGGCTTCCCCATTCCCGCTGCTGGATCCAGGTCGGCTTGCCCTCCAAGATGAGCAGGTTGTAGGTGATGCCGTCCGCCTCATAGGTGGCCGAGGGTGCCTGGAAGGGGGCGAACTCCTTGCCGGGGCAGACCCAGCACTGCTTGGCTGCCTCATGCCTTGCACATGAACTTGTAGTCGGAATGACCTGCGTCGAGCCTGTACATGCGCTGGGCGCCGATACACGCCTTGTTCCTCTGGAACTGCGAAGCCCAGACCTCCTCCTGGCGGAGCTGGATCTTCATCGGGACGTACGCCTCCAAGGATGCGGATCACCAGGTCCTCCGTGAGGTTCTTCCCAACAAACTTGTGAAACAGGGAGACCGCCTCCTCCACCGTGATGTCTCTCAGCAAGGTGGCCGCCGACGCTGGAAGGACTGGAAACAGGTCTGGGAGGTCCACCAGCTTGAAGTACCCGGGTTTTCCGTCCACCGGCGCCAAGGTGACAGGTTTGTTGGCCTGAGACGTAGCCTTCTGAGAAGCCGCCACGAAGCCCTTCAGTCTCTTCGTGGGTGGCGTCTGCGCCTCCTCCGGTGGTGTGGCCCGCTCCGTGCCGTCCGCATCCCCCATGTCCTTGTCGCCCTCCTCGGCGGGGCCAGGGGCACCCAAGCCGGGAGTCGGTGTGGCAAATGCCACTCGGAGACGCTCCAGTGCGCTGGAGAGGTCCTTCATCACATCGGTCGCCGAAGCTCACAAAGGGCCTCGGGCTCGTCCAAAACCAAGCCGGCCGCCACTGCCGCCTCCCGTGTGCGAATGTCCTGGGCCTCCTGGCTGGCCATTTCAACCTCCTCCACGGTGAGTGTCTGGTCCTCAATCAACTCAAAGGAAGTTGCCGAGGTTGCCGAGGAAGCCATTGCTTGGTCGGGGTTAAGTTCGAAAATGCAAAAGATCAAAGTTTTTCAATCAGCTTGGGTTCCAGGAACCCAGAACAATGCTTGAGCCAAAATGGCACATGCCATTGTGGTCAAGCATTCCACACACAGTTCATGTTTCCACATGCGTTTCAACATTAACAAAACACGGGGACATTAATTCGGGGTCAACACGAGTTAGACAAGGTACAAACACTCTCCAGACAAAAGCGGTGTTTGGGAGATGTTCCTATTCATGGACAGAACCCTGTACGGACACCCTATGAACATCGGCAATCACCGACCAACTGGTGCAAGGTTTTGTCCATCAGGAACTGACAGTACTGTGGATACAAACTCCTGCACCAGTTGGGGTGGATGAAACCCCCATGAATTCTAGGAAAAACCACCTACCACTTGGTGTAGGGTTGTGTCCATCCACAGTATGGCGTTTAATTGGTTGATTGTCCAAGATTCTCTGGGGAACTTTTTTCCGGGTGGACGAGTCGTTTCTCACAGCAGGGCCCTCGAGTTCTCCCGCAAAAACTGTTCTCGGGCTGTCCTTCTGTCAATTGTATTAAGCGCAAAGAATGCATTGAGGTTTGTCCAAAAATTAGGGGACCCCCCAATTAAAAATGGCTGGTCTCCCTTTACATCGCCTCTGAAACCAAAAAAACAACTGTCCCCGAGAAAGACACGCCAGGTGATAGAAATGAACAATCGGCTGTGAAGCCCAACCCGAGAACCCACCAAAACAGCGCTGTGCCCAGGCTGTATACGGACTCCAAAACAATGATACAGCTCAATAGCACAGACCAGGAATGGGCAGGAGTTTAAACGGGGACACTTGGGTGGACATCACTCAGGTAGGGACTTGTGTCCACCAGCCATTTTGAGGGGTTCCTAATCCAAAGTCATAGCCGGTGATTTTCGGCAGGCCAAGTTTCCGTCCAGTATCCTCGCACACAGCTTCATTTCCTCAAGGTCAGGCTGCATATGGCTCAAAGTTGCCCTCCCACAGGAACAGGACTTGATGAAAATATGTTTCCCAAGAAACACGCTTCTTGGAAGAAAGATTGGGGAATGAACCGCACCAGAACTCGATGATACCTTGGGGTCAGTCCCACTGAGAACAAGTCTGCATCCTTCACAGCGAGCCGGGGCCCAGAAAACGCGTGTCCCGTCCAATCTCGCCTCCAAGCGGTCCATCTCCGAGGGAAAGTCCTCATACAAGAAAAAGCGGGTGAACAAATGGAAAAACCCAGTCCCGCAAAGGCTTAGCCCTCAAGCAACACGGAATAGTAACAAGGGGGCCCCCGATAAAGCTTCGTCTAGGATGAAACAACCTAAACTGAAGAAACACAAAACAAACCAGGGATGGCAAAGGTCGCCCAACTTGACCCGGGTGGGGTGGGGTGGGGGACGGGTTCTACAAGCAACGGACAGTGTAGCTAGCCGTTGTCAACCAGGCTCAACTCCTTGTTGCTAGGAAGTCTGTCGCTGCAAATTAAAATGCCACTAGCAGTAAGCAATGCCGTGTTAGCAGAAAAGATATAGACAAATACCGTTGTTAACAGAAACCACTCAAGAACCATGACTCATGATCATGCCTTTGCCTTCTTTTGCCGCAGGCTCGCCCTTTTCGGCTGTTCAAAAAGGTGGGCACCGATGCATCCAAGAGGCAATGAGCACACGCAGCAGAAACCGGAAGACCACAGCATGCGCACCAACCTGAGTCTATCTCGATCCCTATCTCTCTGTGCATAGCACTGCCCATGGCACTTTGAAGGCTATTTGGCCAGACTGACGAGATCCTGAAAGGAGGCGAGGGGGTTCTGCACACCTGAAAGGAATATTCTGGTGTCTTGCTTGATGCTCCTCGCGGTTCCCGAGTTGTTGTGTTTTCGGGACGGCTCTCCCTTCGATCCCCGTGAGGATGCCATTTTTACAACACCTGTTTGCAGAACACGAACACACGGGCGACATACACAAGCCAACTGTGCCACGGCTCTGGTGCTTCCTTCTCACCTTCCAATCTCCCAAGCTGGGATTTCAAGGACTCGAGCGCTCTGGCGCAATGTGAAATCCGTGCTCTGACCTTCAGCTGCGGGAATTTCAGTCGATGGCGGGTGCTTCATCGGCCAACTGGATGTCCCTTGTGGCGGCAGGAAAGTCCAAGGCAAAACACCATTTGGGTTGTGCCTCAAATTTGGGACAAACTCAGATAGGGACCTTGGTGAGTATCGAGGTCCTTCAGGCGTCGATGACGAGACCGTTGGTGCTCCCGATCTTCACAAGCCATTGGGCAAACTCTAACAACCAGACCCTGGTAGATGAATTTTGCAAGAAATGTGGCCAGAGCCCAAACAGGAGCAGCAACAAATGGAGTCTTTTGCAGGTCAATGAGGGCCTACAACTGACTACTTCCCTTCAGTTTGAGTCTTTGAACACCCTGCCACAAAGAAATAAGAGCCAAATCCAATGGGGTAGATTTTGTGTCCCAAGACCTGAGACCTGTCCATCGAGAGAGCCAAAACCGTCCCCCGAAACGCCCGGCGGCCCGGCGGGCCGCTGGCAGTGCTTGAACTCCGAAAGGGACTCCAGCACGATCTCGGAGGTGTGTTCCAAGCTGAACAATGGGATGTAAGACACATACGGGCATTAAATCAGGCAGGGCAGTTGTGCAAACAGAAAGCCAGGCAAGCAAACACTGGCAAAGAAGCAAACGCAAAGCGAGACACCTGGCCGCAAACGAAGAAGCAAAACACAAACAAGCAAACAAGCAAGCAAGCAAGCAAACAATCAAACAAACAAGCAAGCAAGCAAACAGCCAACCAACCAACCAACCAACCAACCAACTAGCCAGCCAGCCAAACAAACAAACAAACAAACAAACAAACAAACAAGACAGACAGAAACACAAACAAGACAAACAAGCAAACAAAACTCAGAGGGATCCCCGCCCCGCACGCGGGCTGTCAGCATTTGCCTTGTGTCTTTGGGGCCTCGCGCCAGCAAATTCTTTGGGAGCACCTTGGAGATCTTGAAGCAGTAAAGGAGCGCCTGGGCAAAACGCTGAAGCAGGCCCGATTCACCCCCTCACTCTTTGAAGGGGGAACGAGCGGAAGTTACATACACAATAGGCGCTTAAACTTCCCCAAGCTGGATCCGACTCGCAAGCCGCTCTGTTCAACCACCAAGCCCCTGAGTTTGACTGTTTCTGGCTCCCTCAAGCCGACTTGGGGATGTGATGGCGAAAGAAGGGTGGCAGTACAGAAGATACCCTCAAAACACAAGGGATGGCAAAGGCCGGCCGACCCATGAGGCTTGAGTCGCGACCATTCCCAATGATTACACTAAACTGTACAGCCAGTGGGGAGGTTCCCTTTCGTGTGTGCTCGGCAAGTGGTTCGTAAGCCTGGTTATATGCCATTGAAGGGAGACTTGCAAATGGCTTTTGTGGGCTATACCCATGATTCCCCACCTTGCCTGACGAATTTCCAATGGATCGCCCCTTTAAAGGTGTCTTCTCAGAAACCTCCAGAGAATTTCCATTTCGACCTCGCCTGGAGCTTCATCTCCTTGAGCTCCAGCGGATCCTCGGAGACGCCGAGGCTACGCCGGACACCGGGGAACGACGACGCTTGCCATGAATCTCATGGCTCACATGTTCTTGTTCTTGCTCAATCAAGAAAAAACGAGACAAGTTCCTTCATGACCTTTACCATGGAATTTGTCTCGAATTGGCCTTTGACTAGATCATCTACCTATCATGGAACTTGCATGGGCTTGTTTTACATTTTAAAAAAATAAGAGTGACTAACATGGAAATACACGGGCACCGCCTTCGCTAAACTTGGGACTGAAAGAACTCCATGAGGTGTGTTCTGTGTCAAGCCCATGGATTCACTGCTAGTCTTCAACAACCCCCCAACCCCGCCTGCCCAACCACCAACTCAAACCCTTTCCCCCTCCCGCGGACCTCCACACCCCATGCCCCTTTGCAGCCCAGGGCGCGTGCCAGCGCGGGCACAGCTCCTGGACCCGCGCCCAGAGAAGATCGAAGGACTGGGCCGCGGAGAGCGCCGTGAGCCAACCTCAGGCACCCAGAGCCAGCGGGACTGAGTCTGCTTGCTGTTTGCTGCGATTCCGCATGCTAGCTGCTGGCACGTTTCTGTTTGGCGCCCTTCAATGCATCCCAGCTTGCGCGGGCCCGCATGCACCCCTACTGTCACATCATCACAACCCCCAACTTCCCCTGATTTTTGTTTCCACTACCATGCCTCGAGAGCCTCTACCCTGAACAAGAAGATCCGGATTTATTCTGGCTTGCTTTCTTTCTGCAAGGCCAGATTTGTTTGAAACAATGGAACCAACATATATCAAGAAACGGGAAAACCCTAACCCCAGACCCGGGGTTTTCCTGGCCAAGCCCAGGTACGCCCCGGCCCCAGTCTTGTTCCCCCTTTGCCTGGCCAAGCCTAGAAGCATAAAGGGGGTGTCAGCGGAAACGACCAAAAATCCCCACGCCATGTCAGCTGGCAGACATGATCCCTTTGAATGAACTCACTATGGCAAAAAGGATCATGATTCTCTCAAGCGCATAAAACCGGACTTGTACAAAGAAGTGGGAGGCTTGGCGAGGCAGGCCCAGTGATATCGGTTGCCTAGAGTTGCTGTTGTTTGGGAGGGGTCTTTGACTCATGTAATGGTCAATTAACCTGGAAGCTGATGTTCGGGCGGGTCCTGGTTTGGACCATTTTCGTTTTAAAGGGATCATATCCCGAACGTCAGGTCCCATGTAAAAACGGTGGGAGGGTATCTCTAAACGGTCACCCAAACACCACTCGCGCTCTGACGTCCCAGCTAACAGAGAGCAGCCGGAAGCAGGGCTCCATGGCAGCGTCCTGTGGACAGATTCCCACCAAACCCCCGCGTCCATGAGCCAAAACCTGATTTGGGCGTGGGTCAAACATGGAATCGGCAACCCCAAAAAAATGGACAAAAAACCAACAACTGGGTAGCTGGAAACAATTGTCCTAAAACCTTTGTAGTCCATGTCCTGAGTAAATTGAAAATGTTGACGCCCACGTCCAGCCAACTTTGCCCCACAAACCTCCCGCCTGCACCAGCGCGAAGAGGCGCTGCACCACCGCCTCCGCCACGGAGCGGTCCACCTGTCGATGGAAACGAAACTGAGATGTCGTGAGCAGTTGGGGGTCTCGTATTTTAGTCCAAAAACAAGAATAAACGTGGAAAAGTCGTGGCATTTTGTGTGTGTGTTTAAAAAATGGAATCTCCGAAAAAAAGAAGAAAACAAACTTCCCTTTAGCCGGCCGTTAGAGCCAAGGATGCCCTCACAAAAACAGAAAGGGACGCTATACGGGCCCTCTTTTTCCACAGTTATGAAAAGGGGGAAAACCCAGTTAGGAAAAGGGAGAAAACCGTGATACAATGTCATTCTTGCTTGCCTGAAGTAAAGCATCCTGCGTTCGAAAGAAGTCTTTCATCTGATCTTGCGTCTGCGTTTGAAGGACGTCGTTCATCTGGTCTTGCTTCTGCGTGTACGACGGTCGAAAGAGGTCGTACTATTGCCTGACTGTGATCTGGAAAGGGGAGGGAAAGAAAAAAAACATCAAAGAAGAGACCTCCTGTTTGTTTTTGTCTTTTTTGCCCCCCCCTCCCTCCGAAACAGGCAGACTACATCTGTTTGAATGATGGGAGAGCCCGACCCTTTCTGAGCGCCGAACCTCACGAAACTGAGACAAAAAGACAGGGCTTACACTGGATGACAATTCAAGACTACAGCACAAAGGATTCAACAGCACACTGGAGAACAGGAATGGCCTGTTCTTCCTACAAGCAGAAATCACAGCATTGCCAAAAAGAACAAAGCTACAGATACACAACACAGAACAGGGAAAAATTGGCATGATAGCACCGACCACAACACTGACACCACAACGTCCTGCAGATACAGGATAGGCAGGAGATTGCTGGCATACACAGGCAATACAGAAAGACACTCTTCACACCATCAAGAACACAGTGTCCAGCCCCAGAAGAACAACTTGAGGGCTACAGGAGAACAACCATCAGATTCCAGGATGGTACGATGGTACAACGAACACGTTTGAGGGCAAGTGTCAAACAATGGAAATGCCACACAAAGCACAACAGCAAATGTGGAAAGGAGAAACAGCATTCAGGACTAAGAAAGGCACAACACTGCCAGAGACACTACAGCAACAGTTTGCAGCAAAGACACAGCCAAAGAGCGCACCACAGAAGGTCACACCACAAGTGATCCAGCACAACCCACGCAAGAGATTGAATGAGAAAACAACACCACCAACAATCAGTCACACAGCAGCATCACACACCACCAAAGGTGCGGCTGGACATGGACTTCCACATCCTTTAGAAGTACACCCTCCTGGAGGAGACTACTGGTACAGAGAAGGCCCATGCTGGAAGAGAGTACACATCGAGCCACGCACAGCAATTTACATACCAGAGCAGACACATGACGGGCCAGACATCAAGCGACTTGCACCATGGAGACAGACCAAATTAGATGAATGGACAACACAGCCAGCAAAGACATCAAATAAGCCTTGGACAGGCTGGACAAACCTCGAAGAACATCAGGAATTTCCAACACAACTTGAGTCAGGTGATGCGAAACAACAACAAGGCACAAAAGCAAAAGCAGTCCAAGCACCTAAGCAATCAACACCGCAGGAGATCCTAGAGCACAATGTGACACACCTTCCTTACAGGAATTGGTGCCCAATATGCGTACAAGCGAGAAGCAAACAAAACAATCACCCAAAGCAACACAGCAAGCTTCCAATCATACAGCTTGACTTCGCTACATCAAAGGCTTTGATGACAGCAACGTGCATCCAATCCTCACAGCAATTGACATCCAATCTGGGATGATCGTAGCAATACAGCCAACCGACAAGAGGATGCTCTTCGACTAGCACAAGTCAGAACACTAGGCACAGATCAGGCAAAACTACAACCCACTCGTGCCTTGGATAGTTCGACGCAGTGCATACATCATGAACAGGTATGCAGTCCACAGCAATGGATGCACAAGCTACTTCAACAGATGGACCAGAGAGCAAAACACACCACTTTGCGAGTTTGGCGAGACAGTGCAGTACATGCTTCCAACAGTGAAACAATTTCCAAAACTAGAGCCAAGGTTCTGCAACGGGATCTGGCTTGGCAAGGATACAACAACAGGCGAGTCCGTCATCGGGATCTACAACAAGATCGTCAGAGCAAGGACAATCAGAAGGCAAATAATGCCTGACAAGTACAACCAGCAACTACTGGACTGTGTACACGCAGGTCCATGGAAGATCAGCACTGCCTACACCAACTCTCACCACACCAGTGACAATGCCAGCAGCAGTCAAAGCACCTACATCACAGAAAGATGCTCAACGACAAGCACAGCATCAGAAGGCAAGAGACAGAGCACAGCACAGTCGAGTGATCAACAACCAAAGCAGAAGAGGACGGCAGAACCAACATCACCAATGGCTACATCACCAACACATCAGAAGCGACCAGCATTGCCAGACAGCCAAAACCACTGCAAAAGCAGGGCCCGGAAAGGGGTCCCGCTCTCCAGAAAAAAAGCACACCTCAATCGTCCGAATCGGGATATTGGAGAGGGTGCTTCCAACATTATGGGAACGTTCTTGGGATGGCCTAGACTCTTCAAAGCACCACATTGGTGCTACTGGTACCTTAATCGCGAACGGTGCATCCTTTTCGCCGAATAAGGGTTTGTGCCAAAATGGGAGGATTGCCCAGCTCCACTGGGCAGCTCCCCTCAGCAGCTGATGGGAGTAGACTTGATGCCACTCCCACAGCGAGGGAGGAATCCTCCCACCTCACCGGATGCCCTCCCGGCATCATGGGTGAGGAAGGAAAGTAGCGAAGATCAGCTTGATCAATTCGCTTTCGACTGAGGGGAAGACCCGGTTCTCAGTCGGAAATTGCGAGTCCGGATGAGTAAGTTCATCCGCCCATGTGTTAAAGTCGCGCTTCACATGCGACGGTCCTAACATGACCTGGTGGTCATGCAGTGTTAACACAATTTCCATGAGGATGGCCGCATTGGGCATCCTGCGAGTGGAATCGTTGAGCAGGGAGAAAACGTTTCCCTGGTTATCACTAGCAACCAGAATCCTAGTGTGAGAAACCGAGCCGGCTGCACAAAGCAGAGCAGCCCTCACCAGAAGGAGGAGGCCGAAGAGCTCCAAGGCCGCTATCGCTCGCTGCGGGTCCCCAGTAGCGAAGGCCCACGGCTCGCCCTCCGGTGTGATTCTGTGTTGGAACCACTTCACGCGGGACTTGTCGGGGTTGGGCACGTCCGAGCACCAACCACCAACCCATGCATGGTCCGCCTGTTTGCCAGCTCCCGCATCGGATGCCCCCGTCCAGGGAAGTGTGGGAGCAAATGGAGATGCCAGTGGGAATCTCTGGTTGAAGAGCTTCCCCAGAAGGATGGCCAGAGCACGAACCAGCTTCGGTGGCCTGCCCGAAGTGGTGCAGGCCTTCTTCCAGCTCCAAAAGGGTTGGAGGAAAGGTTTCGTCAATGGACACGCCGAAGTAGCCCATTGAATCCGGCCCAGGGCTTGTTCCACCTCCTTGCTGGTAAAGAAGTCCCCCTGGGCCAGCCGTTTGAGAGTGGCCAGGATTATGACGTGCTTGACTGGAGCCAGCAGCACACAGGGCGTGATTGGGTCCACCACGAATCCCACCCAGGTATTGACCGGGGAGAGCGCCGTCTTCTTCCAAGAAAGCGGGACTCCCAGCGCCAGAAGAGTGGCCAGGATGGCTGTGGCGTCCCAGTCCGCCCTGCTGCATCTGAGGACCCAGCAGTAGACGTCCACAAAAACTAAGTGCCAGTCCACCTGAGGGAAGATGTAGTACAAGAGTCTGAGCACCAAGGATGCCTTTCTTCCCCAGTACAGTTGTGCCGAGGCCATGCCGTACGTGCCCACTCTATGGACCCACCACCGGTTCTGGATGCAGGCCACCTGGTATTTCCAGTCTTTCTGGAGCACTTTTATGCGCCTGTGGGCCTTGGTGACATCCGCCTTGAGGATGATGAAGGTTTCCCCCCGTGTCGGCGGCTGCCACGTCAGGGGTTCCCCCCTATCAGGGCCCTCGGCACCTGGGGGCAGGCTGGTGCTGTGGGGGTCCCTCTCAGGGCCCTCGGCACCTGGGAACTGCCCCTGCACCGGCTGGCGAACATCCCTAGGTTCCTCATCAGTGCCCGAGGATGGGGCTCGGAGTAGATGAGGATGGTCCGCCGCTGTCCTGAGCCAGTGGATGGCATGGAGGCAGTCTCCAACCATCGGTGCGGTGGTCTTCTCCTCCGTGTGAGCCTGGATGTGTGCGTTTGCTCCCCCTATTGAGCCATCATAGATCGTCCTGATCTTGTCCGACTCATCAATCCCTGCAAGGGGGCCCGGGCAAAGTTCCTCCGGTTTGCAGCGGCACCTCTCTGCCGCCTCGGAGCGAGTGAAGGGCCCGTCCACCATGTCCAAGGCTCGTTCCTCGTAAAAGGTTGATTCGATTTCCTTGGCAAAGAGTTCAGCCGTTGGGTAGTTATCATGAGCCACTGGCGGGAGGGGATCTTCCCCCAGCCAGGCTTCTCCCTTAAGCTCCTCCTTAGTGGGCCAAACTCCCGGGGAGGTCAAGGTGGGGTCCGAGACTCCCAAGGGGACCCCCTCTTTCAGTGTTAGGGGGAATTCCCAATCAGGGTCACCTGAAAGGGATGCCAAGTGCGACACTAAGTCCAGGAGGAAGGGCTGTCCTGGGCATCGTTCATGGAGGTGCCTCGGGCCTAGGATAGCCCGCAGCT